CTACTTTGAATATTATTAAGGAATTTGTTGAGTTCACAACATTGATGATCCGTAACACGCGTGATTATAGCTGTTAAATAGAGCTAATGGTGATTCCGCTGTTTTAGAAATCGGAAAAAATAAATATACTCATATATATATATATATATATATATAATGCATATATGTGTGTATATAGTGCACACGTGCAAATACAGTAATTACAGATAAATAAATATAGAGTTTCACTTACCGGCAGATATGCAGTACTGTTATGTATTACGATAATCACTGAAATATCTTTTAAAACCGTACATGAACGCAGCGTGACTTCAGTTGCGTTTAACGCGAAGTTCAAAACTAAACGGCTGGCATTGGATAACACACTATTATTATTATTTCTATTACTATTATTATGTATACACGTAATAATATACGCGTCATTATTCCGAATCCGTTTGATGATTTATTCGGTACCGTTTACGACAATTAATTATTTTCAAGCGCACGTTCTGCATGTTCGTTATAACCGGATTTTGAGAGTGGCGAAAACACATAACGTATTTTTATTTTGTATACCGTGGTTCAGGTATCGCACCAAAAGTAAGTTATTATAATATTATTATTATTTTTGTTATTTATTATTTTTACTACGAAGGTAAGCGTTTTTTTTCTTCTTGTGAGCATGGTTGTACAATAAAATGTGTTCGCGTGCACCCCACGGGACGACAGTGTTTAATCACTCGTAAATTAAATTTTAATTACTTTTCAATATTTGGCCGACATCGTTGGTTAAATCTACGCACGTGTAAAAGCGACCGCTTCGAACCCGTTCCGAATACCTGTATTGTTAACGGCTTGTGTGTACACTGCTCGGTCGTATTACGCGTGTAATAATTTATTACCTAGCTGTTACAATAACATCATGAGCATACTTGTCAAGTTTTACCATTAGTTTTTGATTTTCCCCTCCTTCTCGTTCATAATACAGTCAAACCTCGCTATTTAACGAAATTTTCTGGATCAGTGGTACCTAGAGGTCACGATCCTTTAGGGGATCGCTAAATGTTATTAGAGGGTCGCCAATATTTTAACACCAAATGAAAAAGTTATATATTATTTTATTTAACTTTATATATATATGTATATTTTAGATTTTATAAAACTTTAATTTAAAATTTATATATATATATATTTTTACGTTTTGGATTAATTAAATTAAAGAAATATCAAAATTACCTAAGATTAACGAGTTTAACGTCCAGTCCAGAGTTCAAAACTATTTCAACCCTCAAAAATATGATTTACGGATATTATTTTCTAATTGTACCTATACATAGTACCTAATAACTACTTTAAATTTACTTAAAATTTAAAATTAATCAGTTTTGTAGTTTTGGTAGTACACTGATTGGTAAGAGGGAGTAGTACATATTTATAGATTTATGTTTCGAAGCTTTAAAAAGTATGTTAAAATAAAGTTTTGAGAACATTAAACCACTTTCGATACTGTTCATCTTGGATACCGAAAATGTACTAAATGATGTTTTTAATTCTTTAAATAATTGCGAACAAAAAAAGAATTAAAACATTTATAAGGTGTATAGATAAAAGTAATTATGTGTATGTATACCAGGGGTAGCCAACCCAAATGATTTTACGGGCTACTTTGAAAATACATTACGAATCCGCGGGCCACATATAAAATTATATTTGTATTTTGCTCCAATACAAAAAAATTTGGAGTAAACATTTTAAACAGGATTAATTATTATTAATAAAATAAGTTTTGGTGTATTTATTATTTGAAAATAAAAATAGAATGAATTAGTATTGCTTTTATAACCGTATTCTGAATCTAATTCTTTTGAAAACTCTTTAAATCATCGATGCGGAAGCGCATGTGATCGAATATAATTTACTGTTTTTATGTCTACTAACATAGAATAACATGGTTCATCGACAATACTTGGGAACAAAGATTTTGTTGATGAATCTAATAGTTTGTTGCAATTATGTTGTTAATAATAAGGCTTCCGCGTTGTGTGGACATTCCAGAATATTCTATTGGGAAAAAAATAATTTTTTTTTATGTAAATGTTTGATATCTCGCGGGCCCCAAACATTCCAAGGTGGGCCACATGCGGCCCGCTGGTAACCTGATCTATACGTTATGAAATGTACAAACCAACGTTCTATTATTTATAATTTATCAGCGTACATTATTGCTTTAATTGTTATAAACTGTTGTATACAAACTTATTTTTCGCTATACATATTGAATTTATTAAAATTTGTCTAAATTCCGTTCAGCGAAAGCGAGTTTTTAATGTGTAATTTTTTTTTATTAACGAAAATTCTATTTTATAATTTTATTTTTCTAAATTTTATAATTTATTATCGGGGGTTTCGTAACACCGATATTATAATATTGACAGTGGACACGAAAGCAAATGGAATCGGCAACGGTCGCTGGGTGTAAGTACTTCGCTATGTACTGCCAACCACACTCGGTCCGTCGACCCTATACGATGCAATGACGGTGATGATAACATAGCTATATAATAATATTACGATACTATGCATGGTATGCGGATATGTAAATAATTTGTACGATGTTATTACGCGATACGTGACGGACGTGTGGACGAAACGAAAGTACACGAGCTGTACTTAAAAACAATAATAATGGCCGTCGGGCGTCCGCGGTAACGAAACGGAACCTTCGAACCGGAATCATGAGAAGTTAAATAATACTTCTTAGGGCGGCTATCGCATACGATTTCGTAATTATGATGAATCGCTCAGTTATGCGTCACCCCGAAAGTGTGGTTTCGCGAAGATGCTACTCGTGTTCTGCAGGGGAATGGGACAGTTTGGCGATGTAATTTCGGCAATTTACCGACCCGGCGATTCGGTGAATAGTCGTGTATACTATTGTATTAAAATAAATCTTGAACCATCGAATATTATCGATTATTACAGTATAATTAGCGTACGTTTGAACTTTTAAGTATTAAGCTTTTTACTTCAAAATTTTATACGAAATGATTCTTAAGACGAATAGAGACATTTTTTTCAAACGATGTATGTTTTGGATGAAGTTAGTGTTTACGGTACTAGACGATTTTGGCGATGTCATTGCGACGTAAAAGATAGGTGTTCGGTTCGTTTACACGCGGGTATTAAAGGTTTAAAGATACAATTTTAAGTTATGTCATCGAAATAGCATCTGCGAAGCGTACTAGACCCGTAATACAGGCGTGGTGAAATACCTACTCCGAACATCTTTCGTTCAAATATTGATCGAAACAAGAAAGAATTGCTGTCGTTATATTTGCTGTTTGTATACCTACTGTGTTTAGTTAAATTTATGTATAGCGGAGGGGAGAAGTATAGAGTTTTTTAATTAAACACAGAGATTGGATAATATTTTTGTATTGCACTTAGTGTATGTGTTATAAATTTGTTTCGACAAAAAACGAACGTTCTCGCAACAGTCATTACCGCGAAACTCGTTTTATTGATCCTAAAACATATCCAACGCGAACATTACGGTCGGGCGTACACCATTCCGCTGCCCAGAAACCTAACTCGGTCCAGTGCCGTATTTCCCAGTAAACACTATAAGTTAGTGGTTAGGACAGCAATTTCTCAAGGGCGGCAAATAATTTTTAAAATTAAATTTTTATTATATGCAACGAGAACTAAAATAAATGCAACTGTATATTTTTATTTTACAACATTAAAACTTTAAGTAACAAAGGAAACAACTATTGGTGTACGCTTTAATAACATTTATTAGACTGGAAAAATATTCATATTAATAAGCTGAAATTTGTTTAGCACTTAAAGCGGTACAATGATTAAATCCGGCACCGGGCCGGTCATTGAAGCCCTGTTCACGGGGTAGAAGCGACGGGAACGTCTCCGGTCGGGCTCGTTTCGGATCAACAGGTGAGCTTTGCCGCAGGCGCTTTCTCCGCGATCTTGTGTCGTGTTACGAGAACGTTATTCAATTGCACGTCGCCTTTGATCAACGTGTCCAGCGAGCCTTGAGCGCGGTAGTACATTTTTTGCACCTGTCTCGCGAACTTAACAACCGTTTGTACGTTATATAATCGTTGTTGTTACGATTTTTTTTTTCCTCCGTCCTCGACGACAGCTCATGGTCGAAATGTGTAGCGTCCAATAGCGCCGTCGGTTGATCGCGTGCCAACGGCACTAGTAGGGAGGATAAAAAATAAGTTTCGATCTCGATTGTTGATCCGTTCGAGATCTGTTATATCGAACGCGTGTTACGGTACGCATTACGAGTGTATTGTTATTATGTAAGAGCGGTCGACGGTCCGGCGATTGAGCGTAAAAACGCACTGCGAAAATCGACTGGCGATCAGAGATCGACTGCGACTCGTTAACGACCGTGCGCCGTCTAGGCGGGTTGTGTTTTGTTTGTGAGAAAGGATTAAAATTAAAAAAAATAATACACCGCATTGTCGTCGTCGTAACAGGAAAGCGCGTAATTCACCCAATTGCCTCTGTGCGCGCGCGCGCGCGCGCGCGTGTACGTATGACAGTTCCAGGTCGGTCTCATTATATTGCATAACTAGGTAACTTCTCATTTTGGAAACACACACACACACGTACACACACGTTTGTCTTGGCAATGAGCTGCAGCAGCTGTGAGGGCCGTCGCTGCAACATTCTCGTCGGAATAGAAAATAAAGCACATAAATACGTGCGGTGGTTGTTTGTACACACACTTTTATACGTATATATATGTATCGCTCCCACATCAGACCGATTAACATAAATAACGAAATATATATATCAGCCTCGGGGGCGCTTCGGACCGGTTTTCAGAAGACCACCGCCGCCTCACGACACGTTCGGGTCACCTAAATCTCGCGGATAACAGGCCCCGAGGCGTTTTCTCCTACTATTATGAGATACCTACACGAGACGGCGTCGATGGTCGTCGTCGCCACCACCGTAACAAAAAATAAAACACAATTCCAATATATGTGGTTGGTAACTACGAATTTTTCATTTATATAAGTAAAAAAAAAAAGTAATATTTATATATACTACAATAACTTTTGGTCGTAATACACATGGTAATTATAAAACGCCAACATCGAATGAAGATTGTGTGTACGCGCGAAGAGCAATACAAATAATAACTATAATAATAATAATAAAAAAAATAATAATAATAATAATTTTACATCGAAAATCATAAATATGTACAATATTGCATTAAGTAAAGAATTAGGAAGAACGTAATATTATATTCCATTATTGAAATTGGACAATGTATTATGTTATTGTTGATTGAACGCTTTTGTGTTGTGGTAGGCTTTCGAGAACGATTGTTTATGATAGAACGTTACACATTGATATATCATATACATCGAAATAATTCATCGCGTTTTATTCTTGGAATTTATTTTAATTTTTAATTTTTTGTAGACAGTTATGCACCGACATTTACGTGCATAATGCATCAAGTTTAAATGTTGATACGTTTTTCAACGGAGTCGTGAGATCGTGTATTTATACATTTCCATTTATCTTTCTCATTCGAACGAACGGCATCTACACTGATGGTCTCGACAAATCGATAATTTATACTGTTTTCCGAGTCTAAAAAAATATACGTGAAGGGCGGTGATTGGGTCGTCGTTGAGTTACATTTACGAATGTTATGATGATGACATCAGACGTACAAAAAATAAAAAAAATAAAAAAAAAATGAAATAAACTGTCATAAAAGAGTTAAAAAGTACATGCAACGCGCGAGTTGTTTAAAATTAGTATTTAGCTCCTGCAGCCGGAGTCTTGGAGACGTTGGCGAAGAAACCGTTGTCCCAATCGGCGTAGTAGGTTACAGTTCTTATGGAACCGTCGGGTTCGACAAGACTGTATTCTCCTTTCACAACTTCACCGTCGCGTTCTTCCTTTTGGCTCTTCTTATCACCGGTGTACGAATCGTCTACGCTGTACTCGTAGGCGTATCTCGGGTTCTCGTCCTGAAAAAAAAAAAAAAACACAATAAATCGCTGGGTCATGGAATTCGTATTCAGCTAACGAGCACATGCACGCACACGCTACGCATACGTACAGTACAATTTTTTGTGTTTCAATAGATCGCGATCACACAATGCAATTTTACCCGTACGAGAGTACAAAACATACCGTATTTTTCCTACGCTTAACGTTTGCGCGGTCCGCACTCATTTCCGCATATTTTGTTCGTGCGCAAACAACGTTTTGCATTTTTGTCGAATTTAATTTTCACAAAAAACGAATTGGTACTCCGTATGCGAAGAAGTGAAATTAAATTAAAAAATACAAATCAAATCGTAGGTGCTCTTACGTAATTTTCCAAGTGAGTGTTGACAACGTTTTTGGTCGGTCCGGTCTTGGGTGGTGTAACGTAGCTAGCGTAAGTCTTGGCCGGTGTGTAAGCAGCGGCCGCGGGAGTGTACGCCGGAGCGGATGGCGCGTACGCTGGAGCAGATCCGTAGCTCGAAGCGGCCGAGGCGTACGACGGAGACGAGTAGCTCGGGGCGGCGGAGTACTCGGGGGCGGTGGCTGGGCCGTAGGATGCGGACGGGCCGTAGGAAGCGGACGGGCCGTAGGAAGCGGACGAGCTGGACGAGCTGTAGGAACTGGACGGAGCGGAGTATACGGCGATCGGTGCTGATTGTTTCGGTGCTGAGTACGAGGCTGACGAGTAAGCTGCCGGTGCTGGGGCGTATGATTGTTTCGAGTAGGATGACGGAGCCTTTGTGGCGTACTCGTGGTCGTCGCATTTAACGGGCGACACGGCAACGTAAGACGACGGGGTCGAGTACACTACGGGTTTGTTGTATTCGGCCGATGCGGAGTACGCGGGCTTGGCGGACTTGTAGCTGCTGCTCGAATACGAGTTTTGGCTGGCCGCTTGATATTTGGGAGCGGGGGCGGAGTATTTGGGTGCAGCCGGGGAAGCGTAGACGGGTTCGGGTACGGCGTAGCTGGGGGCCGGTGTGGAGTAGCTGGGAGCGGAGTATTTTGGAGCGGCCGGGGAAGCGTAAATGGGTTCGGGTACGGCGTAGCTCGGAGCCGGTGTGGAATAGCTAGGAGCGGCCGGGGAAGCGTAAATGGGTTCGGGTACGGCGTAGCTCACAGCTGGGGCGGAGTAGCTGGACGACGAGTAGCTAGATGAGGAGTAGCTACTTGGTGCCGAGTATTTCGGTTGAGAGTAGCTGGCCGGTGCTGGAGAGTAAGATGGGCTTGGTGCGGCGTAGCTCGGGGCAGCAGTGGAGTAGCTGGCCGAAGAGTAGCTGGATGAGGAATAGCTGCTTGGTGCCGAGTATTTCGGTTGAGAGTAGCTGGCCGGTGCTGGAGAATAAGACGGACTGGGTGCTGCGTAGCTGGGAGACGGAGCGGAGTAGCTGGATGAAGAGTAGCTGGACGAGGAGTAGGCGGGTTTCTTGGCGTAAGAAGCTGGGGCCGAAGAATATGAGGAGTAAGACGGAGCTGGAGTGGAGTATTCGTGTTGGGAAGCATCGTCGCATTTTGGTGTGGTCACGGAGTATGGTGCAGCCGATTTGTAATCGCCTTTGTATTCATGAGGAGTGTACTCGGTGGTGCTGGACACATATTGCGGGGCTTCATATTTGGGCGTAGTGTACGCGGCTGGCTTGTATGCTTGAGCCGAGTAGCTGGGAGCGGAGTACGTGGCCTTTGCTGGCTTGTAGTTGTTGGTGTAGCTGGCTGAAGAGTATTTCGGAGTGCTCGGGGAAGCGTAGCTCGGTTCGGGAACCGCATAACTCTGAGAAGAGTAGCTGGGCGCTGAGTAGCTGGGAGCGGAGTAGCTCGGGGCCGAGTAGCTTTGAGACGAGTAGCTCGGGGCCGAGTAGCTCTGAGACGAGTAGCTCGGAGCCGAGTAGCTCTGAGACGAGTAGCTCGGAGCCGAGTAGCTCTGAGACGAATAGCTCGGGGCCGAGTAGCTTGGAGCCGAGTAGCTCGCTGCCGATTCGTAGCTAGCCGGTTTGAAGTACGCCACGGGCTTGGGCGCCGGGGAGGAGTAAGAAACTAGAGATTGGCTATATTCGGGTTTCGAGGGTCCGTATTTCGGTGGATGAGAGCATCCCTCGTCGTGTTGATGGCTTGCCGCTTCGTATTGGGCGCTGCAGCTGACGGCCAACAACAGCGTAACCGCTAATACCTTATGTTTAAAAAAACGAATTAATTTTTTACACACACATTAGACGTTGACATAAAATAAGATATAAAATTTTTGAAATTTATGTTTAACTATGAACGCGTTTCCGTAGTTTCAATATATTTCAAACATACTACAAGCGTGCAGTACGTATATTAATCATTATGTTTACGCGTACAAATTGTGTATCGATCGTAAAAAAAAAAAAAAAAATGTACATAGTAAAATAGATATTATCAATAAATAAATATATTTAAATTTTGATTGCAGGATATGGTTAGAGTATTTGAATGGAATACGAAACGTTGTCGCGAACAACGATTAATATTTTTCGATCGCGGTTCAAACTACGAGCGGAGTAGTTGGACTAGTTCGGAAACGGTTTTGGACACTTATAAGGCATCTAGATCCAATGCGATATTCACGTACCTTAAATCCCATGACGGTGGTAAGATTCTCTGGACGTTTGATAGAAAAAAAAAATACAACACTTAAACCCGCGGATAAATCGAAATTAAATTGACACGACGAACAACACTGCGTTATTATTATGATACGTTGCGCACGATTCGATGCGGTTCGTTAGACGGACACCAATCACCAAGTGCCAGTCCGCGTTTAGGATTTTATACATAATGCATCCCACTTCTGTCGGGAGGCTGAAAAACGGTTATCCCCTACTCGTTCCAGATCACTATCACTTTGTCACCAGTCGAAGCCCCCGAGGCGAGTTTTCGGTCCGAACCGTTTGGGTGTGGTTACCAAGGGGGCCGGTTATGCGTTTGTGTGTGTGTGTGTGTGTCTGTAAATGCAACAACGTTGCCCCTGGTCAATATAGTAATAATAATCGTAATATTAATAATAATAGTTATAATAATAATTAATTATAATAATAAAAATAATTATAATTTTAAAAATATATCGATATGTTTTGCAGGTACTCATAGTTTACAATACTGTACCGATTACTTTAATGTACTATATGTTATGTTAAAACTAGAGTTAGGGTTTTGATGATTTTTGCATTTTTTTCCTTTGATTCTGTACAATACTATCTTAGAAAAACATTTGTATCATGCTTCCTTAATTCAGAATATACTAATTTGATTTTACATTTTTTTTTTTTTTTTTTTTTTTTTTTTTTTTCTAAAAATACATTTTTTTTATATTTTTACATATATTCATTTTTTTTATAGTTATTCTACAAGGAGAGGCATTTTTCCTAAATTTGAGATTTGAATAATATTTGAAAAAATAAATTTAACTATTATTATTGTGGGATTTTCGATAGGATTAAATTATCGCGTACCGATAAGATTTACTCAGTAACATCGGCTGTATGACAAAAATCGCCAAAGGTACAAAAATGACATATTATTTGCACCAAAACAAAGTATGCAAACAGATAATTATAAATATAACAAATCGAATATAATAAATCTATATTTTTGCTCTTTAAATAAAAATTTACTCAACATCTTTATTCGTAAAAGTTTTTGTAAAATAAATGTTAACGAATTAATTATTAATATGTTATAACACAAAACTGCTTTTACAGTGATCACGATGTGACAATCTATCGTAACCTAATAATAAATTTGTCGATCGAAGAACCTTTGGAGCTTTTGAATGATATAGTTTTAAATGTAATATCTGTTATTTAATATCTATTAATAATGGCACAAAGTAGGTATCTTTTTTTTTAGATTTTGGCGCTTTTATACGATACAATTTTGGCACCATCGTACAATACCGATTTTTTTTTTTTTATCTGATTTTGATTTATGTTTTTCACCAGTGATATTGCAAGCTTTTGCAAGGACCTAGGCAAAAACAATACAATATATTTAGGTACTTTTAAATATATCTTAATATTCTAACTATTCTAACTTGACAAATTGTGGGCCCTCAAGTTTATTTGAAGTGCAAGGCTTTAGGGAATTGCCTGAGTTGCTTATCTGCTAATGATAGCACTTGTCTCACCATACGTGTGTTATACAATTATAAAACTAGTACTTTTTCACACACATGTTGATCATACACGCTTGTGGAGGAAAATATATTCCAAAAGATCTAACTACTGATGACACGGTATACTTCAAGTATGTTCACCTGAAGTTCGTTTATGTTAAATGACATTTTTCATCGTACAAATATGAAAATCAATTAGAATATTTTTAATATAATTGTTTTTATTTCTATTTTACTTTTTAATTTATTTTTAATCATTTTTTATTCCTAATACTTAAATTTTAAATGTATACTTTTGTCTTTTAATATTACAATTCATATTTTTAATTACTCTGATACCCATTAACACAACTATATTTCTATTAAAAATTAATATTTTTAAATTACATTTTTTTTATTTATTTAAGTAGAATTTTTGGTAATTTATTAAGTTAATTTATTGGAATATTTAGGGTATTTTATGTGTTTTTTTAGGTCATCAACATCTTAACACTAATTATAACATCATCGTTTTATTGTCAATCATTATAACGGCCATTTTTTTGCAGTGTCCAAGGTACGGTTGAACCGCAAAATAAAATATCAATTTACGGATAATGTAATATTATAGCCATTGCGGCACAGTGACCTGATGAAATAACACTGAGTGTTGTTCATAACATTTTATAACTATAGTTTACCGCATACGGCCGGCCTTGATATGTGCACCGGGCTAGACGAACCGTGTTAGATAACGCAGGTCCGCCGAGTACTCGACTTTTACACGCAAAACATTCGATGTGTATTCTGTTTTCTAACCCCGATATTGAACACCGGCCACAAATGTGATGATCGCAAATTGTCGGTCGATTTATGCGACATATCATTCGAAATCGAAGATCACATCACATCGTTCGGGAACAAAACATCAGTTTTCATGCGCATTTGTTCTTACGCGAAACTTATACATCAATTAATTTACTTATAATAGTGACGCCTTCGGTTTTCGTGTTCATTAGTGGTACATAAAATTATACCCTTAGGCTACTCGGTTACAAGACCATTAGACGATGTAATGAATAAAAATCATTAACAATTCAGTCAACGCACTGACATAACATACCGGTTTTTTTTTTTATTTATTTGTATTTTTTAATTTTGTTACTATTAAAGTGAAACACACACATTCACATACATGTATAAATATAAATAAGTATTTTGGATCGTGAACATTGTTCAATATGAACCGTTTTGTTGGACGGCAATAATAATAAAATGATTAAGAGTACTGCAGTTAAAAATCCGTTAAATTCGTAATATACATAACGAACGGCCGTGACTGGCTTTTTTATTTAATCCGCACGACCCAGTACGATGCGTAGGTTTTCACGATCATTTTATTATTATTTTTTTTTTTTTTTTGGTTTTCATCGATTTCGCGGATTTGATCTCCTCCGTGAGCGTCACGTACGCGAATCATGGTTCGAAATCGAGAGGAGTTGAATATTCAAAATATACTACTGCTATTGCGCATTTTTCAAACATGTTAACAACATATTCTAGTCATCACAGTGAGATCCGGGTGATGAAGAAGTGAGGAGCGGAAAGGACGACAGATGTGCTTAGAAAATAATTAATCACTCGGACAAACGTATAACTCGTTAAGAGATACAGAAATAAAGAGAGAGAGAGAGAAAGAGAGAGAATCAAATTCTACTAGATAATATTGCGTTATGTCCGCGAGTTAGGAATTGAGAGATAAATTAGTAGTGGTAAATCGAAAAGAATTCGGTCCAGATAACTACAATATTAATAATAATAATTCGTGTGTCCGAAGGCTTTATTATTATTATTATTTTGTAATATTATTGTACTCGATGGCGTCCCATATTCAACTCGACGAGCCGCCGCCGCTCAGATAAGTATCGACTGTCGCGCACACGCGAAAACACACGACGAGATGGTAGATAACTCAAACTGTCGTCGAGATAATACATAATCATAATAATAAGAATAACAACAACAATAATAATATTTTTTTCGCGTGCCATCTGACGGTTGCATCGTGTTGCCCCCCGGCGAGGACCCCCTGATCGTCGGTCCATCAACATGTCCACTATACGCACACACACGCACGCACAAACATGTACACGAATATATATACAAACGCACACACGCACGACACTAATAGTCCAGAGGGGACGCGAAAAAAGCTGGAATAAACCAATTATTTTCAAATGTTGCGTTATAGAAAACAAAAAAAAAAAACAATCAGATTATTAATTATATACTTATACACACATTCTATTATTATTTTTTTTCATAGTTGGTAACAAATAAATAAATAGGTAAATATTAGTTATTTAGTTTTTATTTGAGTAAGTAAGTATCGTATGATATAATAAAGTGTACAGATTATTCAGTATCTTCGTCTTCGTCGATACTTTGTCACTATCGAAAATGTTTGTATCAAATCATTTTTCTACTTCAGAGGGAAACGACTTTTTTCTTCTCTTTGCTTCGTGAAGTCCACTTTTCTTTGGATCCGAAGATAAAAAAAGTCTATTGAATAGGTCTCAATTAGTTTCTATACGAGACGAATTTCTTGTAAAGTATTCTCTGTATTTTTTTATGTCCTTATTCCTCGATTCATGGACTTATTTGCTCAACTGGCTAATAAGTAATGCAAATGAAGCTACTACAGATGGCCCATATATTAAAATTTTGTGCAGTCTGGGAGGCATATAATACCATTTATATAAATGTACGTATAATTGAGCAGTTCTTCAGCGATAGTTTTCAAATCCATCTGTATGTAATTTTTGTCCACTTGATAAACACTGAAGAATAACTCCGAGTTGAATAATAAGTGTTTCGTCAATACCAGTAATTTCAGATGATACACTGTAATTTTTGAAAAATCTTCTAGAAGTTAATGCGGTCAAAACCTGGTTTGGGAAATTCGAACAATAAACCCATTTTTTCTTTGAAATCATTCTGAATTTTTTTTTTTGTTTGACTAACAACTTATTAATGTGATTTTTCGTTAACCTACAAAAATACAATATAAGTTACATACAAACGTTGTTTAACCAATGAATTTTATTCTATCAATTACCTTCTACTGTTTAAAGTCTATACGATAATAAGTCTAATCAATACTACACGTGAAGCAAGCATTCAAACATCATACGCATGCAGTGTAGATAATCCAAAACTATAGAATAAAAAAATAAAAATAAAATATTACACCATTATTCTTAAATTGACGTTGTAGAAATACCTATAATTTGTTTGATCTACGGTTATCTTTTTAAATTTTTCCAAATTGTTCATTTGGGAAATGTTTGGTTTGCAAATGTGACAAATTATTGATGAAGTCTCTATCGCTGCACTACATACCTTTCCATTAATCATAGTAAATTCCATCGAGAACTTAGCTACAGTATCTCTATTATGTATATATGGAGTAAGTTGGCTAATTTGTTGACTTACATACTCGTGCATTTCCTCATTTTTAGACATTTTTGTAGTTTCCCTAGCATATTGCACACGGATTGGTTTACAAAATCAAATTGAAGAACAAGCAAGATTTTTCCATATAACATGATTATCAATTTCACTAGTAAGCATATTGGCACCATTGAAGTTACAAATAAACTAC